TGACGTGTTCAATACTTATTTTACCCGCTGTATTATTAAACGTTCAAACATTTAGTAAAAAGTAATTAAATGTAAGTACAGTGAGCTAAAATAAAGTGTTAGTGGAAAACTAGGATTCTACACTCAAAAAGTGAGCTAAATAATAAAAAAGTGTTAGTGACATTTAAACATTTTATTTTACAGTTGGTGCCCTATTATTGTGACAGTTGTGTAACATGATCACATGCATCTCAGTGTTCATGTTTTATGAAACACAGCACTAATCACACCACTGGACTCACTTGGAACCTTCTAATACAGCTTAGGTAAATCTCAGATAAAACCTAATTGCACAAGTTCTCCCTCCTTCCAAAGCTGTTTTGTTGCTACCTCATTATTTTCCCAGTGAGGCCGATGCGTGCCTTTGTTCAGTTTGATTAATCCAACAACGGGTAACCAGACGGTACGACCCCACTCTGCTTCTTTTTTTTATTCTTTTTTAAAACTGTAGGTTTCATGTTTCTGTTCTATAACATTTCAAACAGATGTTGTTTTTTATATTTTGAACATGACAGACTTGTGACTGTTTTGTTTTCTGCATTGCCACAGATCCTGCAAGAAGAAGAAGGAGGAGGATAAGCTGGTTTTGAAGAGATGGAAACTTTGGTCTTTTTGTTTTCATTTTCTGCCCTTGGCGTCCTTTATGCCATGAACACCATTCCTRTGTTTCAAGAGTAAGTTGTAATATGTATTTATTTGTTCAGTCTTCCTTCTTTAAAACAAAATTTCTCTACAAAGTCAATCTTTTTACTAACAGCTCATATCAATAAGTTTCAATCCTGTCTATTAAAGTGGCTCATGCAACAAGAGTCATATGTTGACAGTACAACCATACAGCCGTGTAAAGTCAAAATAATTTATTAGCTGCATGTAGTGTATCAGTTGGTGATCCTTGCAGTGTCAAATGATGGTGAATATTTCACCACCACTAGAGGACTCTGTAAGCACACACAYGTGATTCAACTGAACCATCAGTTTTCATTCAATGCTCATCGCCTGACAATTCTTATGTTGGAGTTTAAACTAAGACCATGTTATAAGTAAGTAAACTTTATTTGTATGGCACTGAGATCAAAAAACTAAAAATAGTAAAAACAAAGAACAAGTATAATCAAGAACAATAAAAAAGAAAAACTTCACTTAAAGCCTGCCTGAATAAAAATGTATTAAGATGTTTTTTAAAAGAGTCAGTGGAGTCTGAGCAGAGARGGGACAGAGGSAGAGCGTTCCCTGAACTGCTCAAGGTGCCACCAGCAGCATTGGATTTGAAGACCTCACAAGTCCTGGATGGAGAGAGAGGCTTCAGAAGGTCCAATATGTATTTGGCCATGAAGTGCCCTAAAGGTTAAAACTCAAAATTTAAAATGACTCCTCAAACGCACAGGGAGGCAGTTCTGCTGATCGTAGTTAATAACATACTCACAGACTGAAGGCGAGACGAGGATTTGTTTAAACAAGTAAACAGACAAGGAGATAAAAGCGTGAACGATCATCTCTAACTCAGTCTGTGACACAAAAGATCTCCGATTAGAAACATTTTTTTAAAAGATCAAAACAATTACGACAAGTAAAATTTTAAAATAGCTTTCGAAAGACAAGGACCTGTCAAAGAGGCTCAGTCTTGTTGGCTTTTACCTGCAGATAGTTGTTCTTCAGCCATAATTTCATTTCAGTTTGTGGATTTCTGAGGTTCTAACAGAACAAAACAATCTGACATCAGCATACAGATATTATTAAAATCTTTGTTTTAGCAAGTAAGTCAATTGAGAACCAATTTTCATTGACAATGACGGCCTGCTTAAGAGGCAGCAGTACAACATAAAATGTCAGAACATGCTAAAACAAGGACAGAGTACCGATAAACATACTGTAAAACTGTAAATCAGGAAAATAAATAAATAAAATTAAATAAATACAATGACACATTGCTGTAACGTTTTGTGATGAGATCTAACAGGACAGAGCTTGTGTGTTTTTTAGATTGGTATTGCTCTCTATATAAAAAAAACATCTTGCCACTACAACCTACAAGTTTTTCATACCTCCAAATAAAGCTGTTCCTTATCTGTAAATCTGCTCGAGTTATAACCAACACTGTGTTTTTTATGGAGCTAAATTGGGGTCATGGGGACCTTTCTGGGTAGAGTTTGCATGTTCTCTCCGTGCATGCGTGGGTTCTCTGCGAGTACTCCGGCTTCCTCCCAC